GACTCCAGCAAAAAAGTTCCAGCAAGACTTGTGGAGAAATCATATTCAGTGGGACACGAATTTGCCACCAGATCTCCACAAAGAGTGGGAAGTAATAACCCAAAATATGGCCGGTTTCACAAAATCACTTCCGCGACGCATCTGTGCTGCACAGAGGCGCTCAATTTGGCCGTGTTCGCGGATGCCAGCGAAGTGGCGATAGCAGCATGCGGCTATCTTTTCAATACCAATAACTCTGCACTGGTTATGGCACGAGGAAAGCTCCCCTCCATAAAAACGAAAACAACAATGTCTAAGCTGGAGATGAATGCCCTCACTTTGGCTGCACGTCTAGCAAACTCCATCACACAGGCTCTAAAATCACGAATCACGGATTACCCATGGACGATATACTTGTTTTCCGACTCTCAGATCGTTTTAAGCTGGCTCTCTTCTCCACAGAAAGCAGGATTGGGAGTCCTGGTAGAGAACCGACTGCGGGAGATTCCGCAGCTTGGTCGCCCACCTAGAGAGCGAAGGACTGAGAGTCTGCTTTGGCTATGTAAACACCTCTGAAAACCCTGGCTGACGCGGGAACAAGAGGGCTCTCACAAATAATATGGAACACCATATATGGTGGACTGGACCGCCATTTTTGACCTCTCCCGTTGAAAACTGGGACAAAGTGTTTTACCCTCTGGCAACAAGTAAAACCGCGTTAGAAGAGTTAACCTGCGAAGATTCCACCGCGGTCAATGCACTGTCCACTGATAAAGCGGAGATACAGGATCTTTTGAATAAAGATCGAGTCAAATCGCTCACTTCAGGAAAGCGTGCAATTGCACTAGTCCTCCGCTTTATCAAAAAGATAATGCGTCCCCTGGGAAGTACCATCAAAAAGCGGATATACGAACACATCCCGGAACTGAGTTATGTGGAGGAAAAGTCTACCGGCTTAGAAGGAATTGAAATCCGTGCTGCAAGACTGGCAATCATCCGTAACCACCAGGCAGCCATATGTAACCAAAGCCTACAGGAAATCCATGGAGAAACACCATACGGCTTTTCCAAGACGAAAACCAGCTCTGGGCTCTAGAGGACGTTTCGAAACTCCACACTTAAGAACGACGCAAAAACCCTCTTTTTGTTGCGCCCAATACTATGCTGGCGAAGTTAGTTATAGAAGAAACTCACGGGAATTACCACCAAGGCATCGAACGTACAAAAGCCACGGTACGATAGCAGTAGTGGATCCCAAAATTACGCAAGCAGGTCCGGAAACTCATATTGCGTGAAATGTCGAAGATTCAATGCACTGCCACCACTATCCCGACATGATTGACCTACCAAGCCAAAAAGTCCTACAATGTCGACCATTCCAATATACAAGGCCTAGATTTCTTCGACCTCCCACCGTGCAAGGAAGACGATCATATGACAAAACTATATGGATGCATATTTACATGCACCGTAACCAGGTTGATCCATCTGGAAGTCGTACGTAGCATGGCAACGGAAGAGTTCCTGAATGCACTTCGAAGATTCGTGGCACGGAGGGGACTCCCAGAAACAATTATTTGCGATAACGCGCCCACGTTTCTTACTAAGTGCAAACATAGTGGGCAATCCAGATCATGCTCCACACGAAGATGTCTTTCGATGCATCACGAATAAGGGAATACAGTGGAAGCGTATTACCCCATATGCCCCATGGCAAGGGATATTCAATGAGCGTCTCATTAAATCCATAAAACACGCGCTATATAAAGCCTTGAGGGGCACAAACCGGCGTTCTTTTGACAACATGCAGACGCTGGTGGCAGAAGTAGAAGCGTGTTTGAATTCTCGACCGCTCACATATCAGGGATCTACACAAGAAGCCCTGACCTCTATCCGTCCAATAGACTTTGTACATCATGATATGACACTGACTCTCCCTATGCCCGAGGATACCGGGAACGGAGGGGAATGATCCAGACTATTTGAATGAGGAACGACAACTACAATACCGACAACAAGTTCTAGAGGCGCTCCACTCATCGTACCAGGAGGTAGAGCGCTTCTGGAATATCTGGCAGCAGCAGTATTTGCTCTCCTTACGAGAACACCATAAGAAACAGGTCTCTAATCGCAGACAAGGTACGGAGAACCCAAACATGGGGACGTCGTCTAGTCAGCGACCCAGTTCTACCAAGAAATGAATGGAAAATGGGACGTATTACAGAACTCCGACGAGGACGCGATGGAGAAGTGCGCGAAGCGGAGCTTGTCTCAAGCACGCGAAGAAAGATCCGTCGCCCTATCAATTTATTGATTCCTCTTGAAATTCAGGAGACACGGACCGCAGAAAACGACAAACCACAGACGGGCGAAACCCGTGAGCACGACGACCAACCGGAACCGACAGCACGGGCCCACCCCTACAACCTAAGACGACGACAACCTGTCAACTACACCGAGAATTCCCTGACAACAACAACAGGTAGACCAGGGAAAGTATCCCCAAAATGGTTCCTCTTTCACCTCATGATAGCCTCGATAATTCAGATAGCGACTACTAACTCAACATCGTTCATGACCCTCAAATGTAATGATAAAGGTGTATTTGTCAATGCATCTGCACCAAACGACTTCGAAATCTGTGCAGATAGCACATGCAAAACTGAACGTTTCGTGAATAGCACTCTTCTAGTGAAGTTCCCACCAGAAGTCACGGTTACCGACTACAAAGTGCTACTAAAATGGCAAACAAATGGCCACATCACAGTAATGGAAACCAAATGTCAAGGCCTAGACTACTGCGAAAATCTGGATTGTTCGATTTGCACGTCACTGGTACTGAATCCAGAGTGCTGGCCACTTGGTGCAATATTAACAATAGCTCTGGCAATATACGCCATTGTGGCCTTCTTCTACACATTACTCTATGTGCCAATGACTATTGGAAAACCAATACGTCTCATACTTTCTGGACTAGGCCTGCTATGCAGCTATTTCTTAAAATGTGCAGGTTGCTGTTTTTGGCAACTCTGGCGGACACTACGAAGAAAGGCGAGGAAGTCAGCACGAGGCACGACTAGCAGCTGCCTTAGCAGTGATCCTCTCAATCTCCTCCCTACACACAGAGACACTTGCATGTCAGCAAATCAACGTTTTGGAACACCAGTCTACGACATGCACTCAGACCAACGGCACAGAACTGTGTACAGTGACGATATCGGATGTGCTTAAGCTGAACACCTACAAGCAGCAAGCTTGTCTACGCCTTACTCGTAACTCCACTTTAGTAGCCAACGTCAAAATTCGTTGGGAAGGGTTGTACCTGCGCTGTGAGCAAGAAACGAGCTACTTTACTCGAGCAGTGGACCTCAGAGTAGTTGACAGCAAACGCTGCCCAAATATGGGTTCCTGTTCCGGGGATAAATGCGCAGCTATCAACAGCTCAAGCCTTATCCCAGAATTAGCAGAAGGTAACGACTACCCAGGGCGAACAGGATGTATAGAATCCTGTGGGGGATTTGGCTGTGACTGCTTCTACCTCAGCTCCGGATGCCTTTTCTATAGAATTTACGCAATGCCAAAGAACACGAAAATCTATGAAGTATTCAAGTGCATGCGCTGGACGGAACACGTACAGTTGGAGATCACAGTGGAAAATGTTAACACAAAAACAGGGCCACAAAGATATAACGTACGGGTCGTCCCTAATATCCCCACAGAAATTGCACATCTTCGATTGACGATGACGATGCTGACGTTTACCACCAATCCCTAAATTGAATAGCGAGTTCATTACCGATGGGTCGGATACAGCAATATGGTCCGGAACAGTTACTCCGAGCCTCCGCTGTAACTCTCGAATCAAGGCAGAATCACTAAACTGCACCTTTTTGCACAGTTGTGACTGTTCCCCTGCCGAGTCGAGAGTCCTGTGCGAATGCGCAGAGGCAGATGTTTTGAAAGAGTTTGACCTGATCCAACAACAACTCCCGGTAAAAACGGCATACTGGGAACTGATGAGAGGCTACGATTCCTCCATAGTCGCTAAAATCCCACACTTAGTCTCATCAGAAATTATCATGAATTTTCACCACGTATACGATACGACTCTAGTGCAGGTTACCAACCAAAGTTGCGTAGTCATGAGTACATCGTTGAAAGGATTGCTATCATTGTGCAAAGGGAGCAGTTGCGACAGTGCGATGTACAGCCGAGAAACATACGTTGGGAGAAATACTCTGCGACCAACATGCGTTCGTTATACCTTGTGCCCCCGGAGGACTCGAGTCGACACTCAGATTCCACATGGAGTCAGCACATCAACTACTCGAGTGCTCAATATCTTGCGGGGAAGTGAAAAATTTCTTCAAATTGAGCGGCGTACTGAATTATATAAACTCAGTGCACTATTACCCGTTCAGTCGACTCGAAGGCAACACCGCTGTATATAATGAGTTTGACTGGCCAGACTTTCATCATATACTCAGCGTCATGCTCGATTCGTATAGATTGGTGTTACTGGTTCTTGGCATTGTAGTCGTTCTCTTGGTGTTATCCTACATATGGATAACAACCTGTGGACCCTGTCCTTCTCAAAAACTTTGTAAAATTTTTGTGGAAGATCAACTGCCTACCAGTACGCACTCTAATGTGGGTACTGAACTGCATCCTAAAGGCCAGAAATGCCCAGACAAACGAAAGGGGAAATGCAACAAAAAAGATTGCATAGATACCAACGACTAACCTCCGCCAGCAAACTATTAGAAAAAAAAACTGTAGCGTACACCGACTAGATTAGCAACTACACACCACCAACAACATTCAACAACAGTAGTGAAAGAATAGTTAGATTCAGGGGGCTAGTAAGTGGTACAATAGCATAGCAAGGGTTCTCCAAATTTTTTATGATTTATCAACTACTTGATACAACAACAACTTCATAGATTTACCTAGATTATGCTTCACCAAAATTATACCATTTATTCCAGAACATGAACCAGAACTCTGACGTTGACATCAGAATGAAGCTCCGTAGAGCGGAAAGCCAACTCCGTGCGATCAAGAGAGCTCTTCCACCCCTTCCAACGGCTGACGAGCTCTACGAGAAGATTGTGAACTATTGTCTTGAATTCTATGATTGCACTCGAGAAGTCTCACCATTAGAGCAATCTTTTAACAATCTTCGTATCTCTCATGAGCCTCTAGATTCTCGAATTCATACGGCACAACATCTTGAATCCCGGGCTCACCTTCTGCAGTTGCGTCTCGTCTTCGTAAGAACACAACTACGTACCCTCTTCACCCTTCCCCCTGTCATGGTGGCGATGGATCAGATGAAGGAGGAAGAATGGGATACTCTCATAAACCGGCGTCATAAGACCATTCATAACGAGTCTTTCGTCGTAAGGTTGGACGTGATTGCGACTGCAGCAGCCGATCAGCTTCAGGCAATCAGCAGCCTTCTGTCAGCATTGAGCTCCGTGCGCAGTGCCTACCAAGATGAGAAGAAGGAAGAGGACAAGACGTTCAGAGAGGAGATCCTCTCTACAATGAGACACAATCACCAGATTCTCGTGGAACATCTGGAGGAGATCCAGAGAACATTTCCCCGATACGGGGGACAGCTACTCCCATCTTCGGAACAGTCTGAAGCGGACGCCAGACAAAGAGAGAGCAGCATCATAGAGGAGAACGCGGAGTTTGCGGAAGAAGAATCTGGTGAGGAGGATTGTGAGGACTGCGAAGACTGTAGAGCTGAGGAGAAAAGAGTCAGAGAGATCGAGCAGCTGGGAGAAAAGATACAGGATGCTGTCGCGAAAAGGATCGAGTTGGAAGCTGAGATGAAGCGGCTGGATAACATACCGACTTGCCCATCAAGATCTTATCAATGAGGCAATTTAACTGGCGCGAACCGAGAAGAGCCGTGCAATGCATCTTCTGCAACGCATCAGGGCTTCATTATTCGGACTCGTGTGACGTCGTAAAGGATATCGAAATACGTCGACGTATGGCAGGTGAGAAGAAACGTTGCCGTCTCTGTCTCCGTGAGGAATGCCGCGAGGGACTGGTGCGAGAAGATGCGCACAAAATGTTTTCACTGTTGGGAAATGGGCCACCATTCGGCCCTGTGTGACCTACCGGAGAGAAGCGATAAGATCAGGAAACGTCAGGAGGAGCTCGAGGAGCTGCGCTACCTTTGCATGAAGCGCATCTCGGACCTGGAAGAGAGGGTAAAAGCGCTTCGTGACTGCTAAGTGCTACGTCTTTTCCTTCTCCAACTACGTTTAGACTTGCCCATCGACCGACGCTTCTATCTCTCTCTTTCCTTTCCATTTTGCTGGGCCGGGAATATCGTCGCTGAAGCGATCGATTCTGGCTAAGATTTCAGTACAGCGCTTTGAACACATGAAGAAGTGGAAGGCCGTCTACAGTCCTGCGTCCTGCGGCCGAGCAAAAAGGAGAGGCAGCTGTGGGCCAACATATAAAGGCACAAGGCCGCGTCTTCCCATAAACAACGACTCAGACGACAACGGACCGACGACCCTATCAGATTCCTTCCAGTTTCTTCCGGCTTTATCTCATTTTCATTTTCTTAGTA